ATGATGATGATGATGATGATGATGATGATGATGATGATGATGATGATGATGATGATGATGATGACGATGATGATGATGATGATGGTGATGATGATGATGATGAAAATGATGATGATGATGATGCTGGTGGTGGTGGTGATGGTGGTGGTGGTGGTGGTAGTGGTGGTGGTAGAGATACTGAATCCTAAAAGAAGGCATTCTTCTTTGAAATATAAATGAAAATTGTAAAAGTTTCGATTCCTTCCAAATACATCGGTTGGAGACATTCTTAATCACAGCAAGCAATACTTGTCAAAGAAGGAATTGTTCATCATTAGCTCTAATTCTGGATACTTAACTGATCTTATCTAAATATTACCTCAATTCCACAGTGATTATCGCATTTCAAAACATTTTCATCACTGGTAGATTGTTGCATATTGTCGCCTTGTTTTTTACCGATAATATTCATCAGCGATTCGTTGACATCCAATACAGTTACTCTGCTATCTAGCAATGAATCTTTGTTGACACTTGCATCACTGTCTGATAAGGAAAAACCATTGTTACCTTTTCGATCATCCATTATTGAAGACGAAGAACACGTCGACATTGACTTACTACGAATCTGAAAGTTCAACTGCATTCTTCAGCTAAATGAGAAAGCTGTAGTAATTTAAGTAACATGATCAAACGTGTTCTACGCAACTTGTCTTTCTGTTTTTTTTGCTATATTTTTACTAATACTTGGCAATTGCATCTGATTGGTAATCAGACGTTTGTTTCAAAACACATTTAAATTAAAATTCAATGGGCTCACTTCACTTGTCAATGATGAATCAGTGGTCCAAAAGCAATGATCAGTAAACATTTGGGTGCAGTGCCGTTTAGGTAAACGTCGTCTTATTGGTGACGTTTGCTTGGATATCCCGAGAATTTCATTCCAAATCAATCTTAAAAATTCAAAAAATTCTCGTTCATCAATACCAAAAGAAGAGAAATTATCCAAGAAGCAGGGACTATCACTTCATTTACTTTTTTCCAGGATACACGGAACATCAGAAACCAAATCATTTACAAATATTCGAATCAACCGCTTCCATTGATGAAAAATCTTAAAAAATGACAATTTGGATGACTTTTAGATGTGTTATAATAAATTTAAATATCTCATTATGTAAATTCGTCAACACGACGGAAAGTCTAACATCCAGCTCTTTCCGCTTCTTTGCATATCATACTAACAACTCATCTCTTTTTATCTTCCTGTACATATGTTGTTTTTGCAAATGTTCTCGGGAAATTCGAAGTAGCTTTTAACAATTTAGTTATGACTCATATTGATTGGTAATATTTAAATTTTCCCTCTGTTTTTAGCTACTTGTATACGGTAATAGATAAAGAGCCCATTGTGACAGTATCTTATCTATTGATATACCGTCTAGAAATGCCCTTTGCTGAGGTTATGTATATGAATATGTAACCCTCTTAGACATTGTAAACATCCTTTCCATTATATATTAGGACTCATATCTTCATCTATAGATTCCTCTCCCTTCATTTCAACTTATCACTTCATTATCTACATCCATCTCGATACATTATTTCGCAATACTTCATTGGTTTATAAACTGTTTTACTGGTGGTTACAACTCCAAAGGTTCGAACTTTACAGCAATACATCCTTGAGGTAAGTAAACCTTCATTTTCTAATATTTTCGATTCAATTTCTGTTTGTGCCCTTTTACGACAGCTTTTGCGACAACTTGTTCTGCTCTAAGTTTTGAAAAACGGCAATTTGTTGTCTGATCAACAAATGTTTATTAACATCTTGATAAGAATTTTTTGCAGCATTGCAGCATTCATATTTGAAGAATATGATCGAGAATTTATGAATGTTTGCTTATTCAAGACAAATGACAAAAGATACAGGTATTATGCTGTAATCCTTCAATCCTTACTGTAAGTGATCCGAATAAATCAACGTTAATCAGCGAAAATGTATAATTGCATGTGCATAAAACTTTGATGAAGGCTCATATGTAAATCTATTATCTTAGAAAAAAGTTTGGTACAATTACCAGCCCACTCTTCCAGAATGTCCGAAAGGGAATTCTCTATCTTTCCTTTCCATTCTTCCCACACCATACTGTCCTTGTCAATTAAATTACTTTTGAATCCAATTTACAGATCCTCAAAATGCACAAAAGAAAAAAGAATAAGGGATCTGGCTATCCTTGAACTTACATATCTGCCTTTTAATGCTGAATAGACCCTTGATGGAGGATGGACTTTGTGTCATATTTCCATATTGACAAATATGGGTAATTGAACTGGGATTTTCCGGAGTGAAATGTGTCAATTTTTGATGGTGTTGAAATTGACCAGATATTTTCTTGGTAAAGTTGGTTTTTTTCACATCATAATTTCACTGGATTCCGAAACGATATATCTCTGTTGTTGAGAAATCCAGAAAAATTGATGAACATGAAAAAGTAATGGTAATAAAGAGAGCATTCGTTCTTACACGAATTGAAGTCCGTCTCTACGTATTCTTTCATATCTGTCGCGGTAAAAAATTTTGAATTAAATTTTATTTCCCATACATTAAGCTAATGCGAACTGTTGCCAGCATTGCATAGGTTAGCTTCCTTTGAAGCTATTTTCAACTCTCATAATAACTCGCGATTCTTTTGCGCTCACTATTTTCCTTTTGTGAAGAGCCGTAATGCTTGGCAAGAAATGAAATATTAGATAATATTGTAGGTGTCGAAGAGTTTTTGTCTTTGTAAACAAAAGGACGATGGACCGACTGATTTTTAAGCAGTTTATGATTGCTCAATGAGCAACAGAATGACTGGGAAAAAATAACGACAAGAATGACAACAAGAAGGTAAAAGTGTTTATGCATCGCTCTAATTTCAGCTTATCAGCAAAAACGCGTGTCTGAGCATTCAAATATGAATGATAGCCATCGTATTGGTTCCTTCTCTTCATTCTTGTTAATTCACAAAATTTCCAATTTCTCTTCATCACTGATATCAGTCCTCTTTCAGTTGTTTTCTGCTCACTGTTCCCTACAGACTGGCTTGAAATTTCAGACTTCAAACTTCATTGGTGTTCGAAGTTTTTCACGCTTAACATAATTGTCACCTTATAATGTTGCGATAATTATCACTCCACATTGATCTATAAACAACCAAAAACAGCATTATAGCCAGGCCTTTGTGGTAAATGGAAGTAAGGAACAATCGGCTTGGCTTACTAAGTTCTGCAAATAGTTCCACACCGTCAAGTTTCCATATGCTTAACTCACTTTACATGTCAGGCGGTAGTATAAAGGCGTAGATTCGTCAGGTGGTACTGTAGAAGCTCTTGTTTTCCTCATTTCATTTTTAGCTTATTTCATATGTTATGAATGTCAATGTGAGAAGAGCAGCCTGTGGCTCGTTTTTCAGTGCCATTTTTAATATTTGATAATAAGAAGCAGCCAAAAATGAGTCCCAAAAAGTGTTCTAAAGTAACACACTTTATTTTTGTTCTAACATCCGAAAAAGAACTTGAGCTGCTCGAGAGTTACACTACAAAATATTCTTTTCCCCTGGTAAGATGGACTTCCCCACTTCGTTCTTTTAAATGAAGGAGAAAATTTCAGGGATACAAATGAAAGGTACTAATAGAGGGTCATCGGTTTCACCGGTCGAAAGTAATAAATCAAGAAGACTGACAACTGATTCATTGAGCATTGAAAAGTAATAATTACCAATTGGAACTTTATGTCGGAATATTGTAGTTATCGATCATCAATTACCATTACTTAATACAAAGCTCCTGGTTTTGCTCGTTACTTTCGCTTTCTTATGCAAATCCATATTTGCATCCATTTTTTTAATCACCACTGCTAATACTTTCGAATTAAATATGGCATATGTTATAGAGGAGTAAAGGATGATTCCGGATTGAGAACGAGTTCGAAAAGTGGCGACCGGAAGAATGAAATGAGGATCAGTACGAGACGAATACCCTTCTTGTCGATCGTTCGCTTTTGTTTGAAATATGACTGACCTCGGCTTAAGTTTTTTTTTCTTTTTCATAAATGAAGTTACATTTATTAATCTGTACGATTTTAGTATCGTTATACGAAACCTTTCGATTGTTTTTTACTAATGGCTGGCATTCTGTTGAGCTTAGCTCAAGGGTCTCTACAAGCTGTTCAAACAATCATCTTCAAAAGGTTATCGGACACATTGATCGAAGGTCAAGCAAAGTGGGGAACAGAAGACTTTGATGAGTTGAAGTTTCATAACGGAGCAGTAATAGCTGTCTATATGTACATTGGGTACGGTATTGTAATACTCATCCTGGCAACCATTTCTGTAAGTATCCTGTAATTGCGAGGTTGTATTTTGAACGCCTGAAGTGTCGTGGTTCTCAGTAATCTAAGATAGCACATTCGACTACAGAAGGAATTCTTAGAGGCTCCGAATATTGCTGTATATGGGTTTCTTAAAGAAAACCCAGTTGTTTCGAAATTCAAGTCATTTGATTGATTAACTGATTAAATTCATTTGTAAATCAAGTTGCCAATGATTATTAGAAGTATGAATTTTTAAGTGGATTCTGATCTTTATTTTGTCATAACCATTTGTGAAAGCAAGAGTACTAATGCTTCTTTTTTTTTGCAAACAGTTGCTAAAGGTCAACATGTTTATTGATAAGAGCTGTACTATTTTATCATTTTAATTCATTCTCACTTTCTGTCCTTGTTCTTTGCATAACTGGCTTCAAGTATTATATTTTAAACTTGAAACAACTGCAGATGACTTGCTGGCATACAGTTTGTGAGCGGCAGATTTACCAAATTCGTAAACGTTATTTTGCGGCGGTACTACGACAGAATATGAGTTGGTTCGATACACATCCATCTGGGGAACTGATAACGAGGATGTCTGAGTATGTACTGCAAATGTTTTTGAAGTTAGATCTTAGGTGAGCAAATGAAAGTTACCGATCCAATAAAAAGATTTTTTAGCTCTTTCTTCCCTATCAGAGATACAGACGTCCAGCCTACGACGGGGAATTACCTCAGCGATTAGATTAAAAAAAACTCTTTAAGGTATGAGAGATGAGAAAAATTAATCGTATGAGAAGTGAGAAAAATATATAAGGGAGGAGATTGTAGTACAACTTAGAATTCCAACATTTTTCAAGACAATTGCTAACTCATTTAGAAGTCCAATTGAGGAATGCAACGGGAGAGACCATTTTCGAATCCATGAGTTTGTTTGTTGGTATTGTTTGTTCTTGTTATTGGACTGGAATATGGCGGAATCTGAATTGAATGAATTAAATTTAATGTTTTAGTGGAATTGATAGGATAAAAGATGGCATTGGTGACAAAGTGGGTATTTTATTTTCATATGGGGCGGCATTCGTCGGTGGATTAGTCGTTGCTTTCATATGCAGGTTCGTTTTAATTATCTTGCAAGTAATTTTATGAGGAAAGAGAAATGGTTGTTTGGTCGTTCCGGTCAAATATTTTCCTTGCTGAGGATGAAAATCGGGGTTTTTGTTTGTTTTTTACTTAGAATCTTTACCATGCGGAAAATCTTGTCGTTATTATTCATAATAGGTCGAGTAATAAATATTCGGTTATTCTTGGGATCAAACTTAATATCTTATACAATTAAGCATTTCTCACTGCAGAATTCAACAATTTCCTCACGACATCTCAAAAAATCCAACTTTTTTTTTGCAGTTGGCAGATGACATTGATAATGATGGTTTTTATGCCGATACTGACCGCATTAACGGCTTTCTTGACAAGAGTAAGTCTTTCTCTCTCACCAAGGGAGTTTTCAAATCATGGTAAGAAATGAAAACCATTCCAACTATTAGCAAGAAATATTATAGGTTTATGTGCTGAATGATTTTCAGAAATCTTCCACAACTTTACGGCACGTATTCAAATAGCGCATGCTTAACATGAAGTACCTTTTCAAAGAGTTATTACAACCTTACGATTGTATTTGCAGAGCATTTAGCAACATTACATCGAACAAAGATCGGAGCGGATCTCTTTGACGATTTCTTTGAAATTGAACTACTAATAATAGTAAATTCAGTTTGTATCAAACAGTACGCGGGAGGAGTTGCATGCATACGAGAAAGCGGGAGCAATAGCTGAAGAAGTAATTGTTGGTATTCGGACAGTCATTGCTTTAAACGGCCAGGAGAAGGAGATTGAGAGGTACCTCGAGAAGATGGGAGCATTTATTTCATAAATTATGTCATACTTCTCTCTCCTAATTCCTCTCCTTGTGATCATGATTATGATACTGATGTAATGAAAAGATGGAGGGAAGGATAAGAGATATTATTGTACTTCTTTCAAATAATATGAACAAAGTAATAATTCAACTTACCAAAAGATATGTTGCAGTCTTGACAGGAAGGGATTTAGGTACAAAAATGAGTTGAACAAAGCGTCAAAGTTTGGTCGACGTAAGGCTTCGTTCATCGCGCTTGGAACTGCTTGGCTCTTCTGTCTTGTCTTCGTTGCAATGGGTATTGCATTCTGGTTGGTGGATGTTTTATGAATAGCAATCACGTGTAGTTCATAAATTTCAATTAGCATTTTTAGCTTCATGGAGATAAATCTCATTCAGAGGCCCCGCCAAGTGAATGATAAATGATAGCAGCTTTACCGAAACGGTTCAAAGTTGCCTTTTTTCACTTCACGTTAAATGTACTTGGCCGCATACATGCATTGCTTTATATTAGACAGAAAAAGGAACTATGAGAAAAATGTACAACAAAAAAGTTCGGGTATTTAAGGTACGGTACAAAGTTATACAACGATGGCTTCATTCAGCCAGGTGTTGTATTTGCCACCTTTTGGGCAGCAATAAGTAGTACTTTATCACTCGGTATGGCTGTGCCACAAATTGGTGCGATAATGATTGCTCAAAATGCAGCTAGTTCCATTTTTGAAGTTATTGATCGGGTGAGTTACAGGTAAACAAGTAAATTGATTCAAAAATTTGCATTTCTCGAAAAGTCATCTAATATGTGAATGTGAAGCATATGCTTTGTTTAGCATAGTGAAGATGTAACTACTTTGGAGGAGTCTAAAAAAGACTCTTTTCAAAGATCATTTCATTCATTCATTGCTAGGATCATCAATAGTTCACACATCTAACAAAGATAACAGTCAAAGAGGTAGCTAACATACCGTCTGCATGGATGAATAATAGTATGGCAACTGATGAGTACAATTAATAAAGTAATATATCATCTTATGGTAAGAGTTGAATATTCATGCATCATACAGAAAGAAATCTGAAATCGATTCTTGAATATGTTCGCTTAAAGACCGTTGGAGTTTATAGATACCAGAAATCGATTGCCAAAGCTCAAAAGGAATAAGTATAGCGAATTCGAAAGGTGAAATTGAATTTAAGGATGTTCATTTCTGCTATCCTACAAGACCGGAGGAAGAGGTCCTGAAAGGAATAAGCTTTACGGTATTAATTTTGAAACAAAATTGGAATAATCTTGAAGTTGAAGATTGTGATGAAGGAATAAAAGTAACTATGTAGAAAAAGACGCAAGGGAAATAACTGAAAATGAGAAAGGAACTGGAATTGAACCCATCTGATTTCTAAATAATACCATGCTTAATCGTTTTTTGAAAAAAAAGGTGAAAGCAGAGCAATCAGTGGCGCTAGTGGGTTCAAGCGGATGTGGCAAGAGTACTTTAATTGGATTACTACTTCGATATTACAGTCAAGGACGTGGTGAAGTGAGTTATTTCTTTATGAATTCCAAATTACGAATTGGAGCAGGGGAAATCTGGAGGTTTAAAAAAATCCGAATTTCGGCATTTCGTTGAGGTATGTCTATGTCTATGCTAACGATCAATTGAGTCTCAATGAAATTCTATGTATGTCTAGGATTGCCTAGGACCACAGAGTTCCATGCTTGCCAACAGTAGTCGGAATTAGAAAAAGACTTTTGGATATTAATTGTGGTAGTCGATGACTCCCGGTGCGAAATTTTTTGAATATATAAAATGACCGAAGATATCTATCCTGATAATTAATTCCATAATGATAGTAATACTAGCATTGAAGTAATATGAAATAGAAATGTAATAGCTAAGACAACTTTAGCTGACAATAGATGGCATTCCGCTCGAGTCGATGAACATTCGATGGTTGCGCCAAATGATAGGTGTGGTATCGCAGGAGCCTGTACTTTTCGCAGCAACTGTTGAAGAGAACTTACGATTCGGTAATACTTCATCAACAATCAGTGGAGCGACTACTGAAAGGATTTTTTGAGTTTAAGTTTAACAGATGGTTCCACAAAAATGGATCTTTTTTAGGAAACGAGAAAATGACAATTGAAGACATGAAACGAGCATGTCAGATAGCAAATGCACACAATTTCATTGAAGAACTTCCAAAGGTCATTTGAATGTCGTCTGTTTGGCTTTCTATTTGTGACTCAATATTTCTTCTATGATCTTCCAAACTCGTTTAGGGTTATAAAACACGTATCGGTGAGGGTGGTGTACAACTATCCGGTGGTCAAAAACAACGTATCGCCATAGCTCGTGCTCTAGTTAAAAACCCGAAGATTCTGCTTCTGGATGAAGCTACCACTGCCCTGGACTCTAGAAGCGAGAAAATCATACAGCATGCTTTAGAAAAAGTAAGAAAGGATGTGTCATACTTTCTGGCTTAGATGAAATATACATCTACAGGGTATTTTGCTTCAGGCTAGTGCCGGACGTACTACTCTTACGATAGCACATCGTCTTTCAACAATTCGAAATGCAGATCTTATCATTGTACTGGATCAAGGGAAAGTCATTGAAAGAGGTGCGAAACTGAGGAAATCTGTAAAAGAGTCTGAATATTTTAGGGTCAAATTTTGCTTCAATAAATGACCTTTTCTTAAGGTACACACGAAGAACTAATGTTATATGGTGGAGTATACAAAACATTGGTACTTGCTCAGGATGTTGAGAAGTTAACAAAGGAAAATGCACCTAATTTTGAAGAAGAGGCAGGTGAGAATATCATCTTATGAAGCCAAAAATATCACTACTTATCTTCATGGTTGTTTTATTGTGCTTTAAAAGTTTCTGACTTCTAAATCAGTGAATCAGTATTAGCCACAACAAATTTAGCACTTGCCATCAGAAGTATGCAACTCTAAACATCCAATATATTCAAGAACATTCCCGTGATTTAAAGATGACATCAAGAGAATCAGTGCTGAACTACTGTCACCTTAAATTGTTAAGTAGCAGTGCTTTTAGAGCGCAGGTGCATTTTTACATTTGAAAATCGCTATAAGTAAGAATTATATGCAAAAAATATGCATTCTGCAAGCAATAAATAGAATCATTTCATAAGTAGATGTCCTTAACTTGCACGCTTCTTACTCGCATAATTTTTCCTTCCACACGCATACGCGTGCAGACGCAGATGTAGACATGAAAAGTATAGGAAGGACGAAAGACGATAAAATGACGAAGCATTTGTACTATTGCAATCAGACGAAACAGGCACTGTGTCCAACTGCTAGCTAATGTTAGCTAGTTTGGTGCGGTGGTTGTAAGAATCGTACAGTTAAAAAAGGTCATCTATATTTTATAGAGATATTAGTTTCTCATCGGTAACGGTATCATCACTTTATGAGGAAAATGAAAGACAATCCATGAGCAGTAAATAGCATATGTCTCCCTAGTTCTGCTTCTAGTAAAGGTTTCAAGCTCAGTATTTCTACGCATAATGTTTCTCATCATGCTCAGCCTATAGTAATCGATAACTTCATTCCAAAATTAAGCACTGATATCTTGGAAATTCTTACTAGTAGATCCTTAAAGAGAATGCAATACATCAACAGGTTTTCTCTTTTTCAAGTTTAACCTTCAGATTTCACAGACTGACCTATGGTAGCATCATGGAATATCATATTCTTGTCATAGACGAAATACGCTTATATTTCACGCTAGTACCAACACCCAGTTACCTGGTAAAAGTTCTGCGGCGTGCATATAGCCTTAAAAAACAAGAGGCCTGTCGTCAAACAGACAGAATTTTTGATTGCCGGCTAACGCGTTTTTTTTTATTTCCGTATCATTAGTTGATGTCCTCAGTAACGCAAATTCTTCAGGGATAATAAAAGATAAAGGGGAAGAAATGGTGGATCTGGTACGGAGTAAATCGCTAGATCAAGTTTCTCGGTCAATATCCACTACCTCGTCCATACTTCGATATGTCGAGGACCCGAAAGTATGACGTTTCCTATTCCTTTTTACAAATAATACTGTCAACACGTGGTAAACCAACAATTCAATGTGATATGAAAGAGCTAAGATTTACTTACGTACTACTAGTTACTAGCATGCAGCATGCACTCAAAGAATTCAGAAGTACTGCCAAGTGTGCCTTCATTTTAATCAGCAGATACACTTTTCTATATTTGCAGCAAGAAGCAAATGAAGTAGAAGCGATGGAAGGATCCAGTTTGTTGAACATTTTACGGTTCGCACGCGACGAGTGGTTTTTGCTTCTTTGCGCATTATTTTTTGCGCTTTTGAAAGGATTAATGTTCCCGATTTTTTCGATCATCTATGGAGCTATGTTTCAGGTCATTAATCCAAGATAAGTGTCTGAATCAGTAGGTATTCGCGTTCAAAGTTCATTCTTAATAAGTTATGTTTCAGTCTCTAGCGAGACCGACTGCGGAGCAAAGGTTGCACGAGGCTTTTATGAATGCCATATATTTTATTGTCCTTGGTATCAGTTACGGGTTCGTGATATTCTTAGCAAGCTATCTGTTCGGTGTTGCCGGGGAATCGCTCACCAAACGATTACGTGTTGCGTTGTTTGCCAATATTGTCAGTCAGGTATCGCAATGATCTGCTGCATTTTCTGGAAAACTGACGCAATATTATTAGAAAAAAAGAAGCCGGGTTGAAGAATAACAGGAAATTTAAAAAGTAGATTGCGAAAGTGGAAATGAAAGACTTACCATTCCTAGTTGTCAAAAAAGTAGAGTATTTTTATGCTAACGTTGTTGGTAACTTGACCTGATATTCCTTCAAACTTATTCAGGATGGCGAATACTTCGACTCATTGGATCATGCATCGGGTAATCTTATCACTAAATTAGCCACAGATGTACCGAATGTTCGTGCTGCAATTGATCACAGGTATTCACAATAACGTATACTAGTAAGAGTTATCGAAAAATTGTCAAAAGAATCGTATTTCAGACTTGCAGACGTGTTGCAAGTGATAACCTCCATACTTGTTGGTATCGCTATTGCATTCTATTATGGTCCGAAAATGGCATCAATTGGTATGTTGACAACGACAACACTAATGCTTTGTCAAATAATCATTGCGCAGTATCTGAAAAAAAAATCCGAGAAAGATGAAATGATAACTCGCGAACCATTTCGGGTAATTCACTGCTACATTTACCAGTATTTGCTTACTTACTTAACAAGCTTATAACCGCCTGTGACCCTTTTTCAATGTAACAACAATTCTGCCAACAACATTATAGCTCGCCGTGGAAGCACTGAAGCATCACAAAACAGTGCAATATTTGACACGCGAACAGCATTTCTGTGATGAGTTCAATAAGCAAATGCGAAAATCGCACAACAGAAATTTACACCGTGGTATTGTTCAAGCTTTTGCTTTCGCGCTTCATTCATCTTTCATTTACTTTAATTTTGCTTCAACATACCGTTGTGGTTTATGGCTTATAGAGATTGGGAATGCCACCCCATTTCATATATTTCAGTAAGTTTATATTCTATAGTTTTTCTCTTCAATACGTGAGATATATAATATGTGCTGTACTGATGTATCACACTTTTTTTTCTTCAATGCGAGAAAATCACAAGTCGAACGGTATTTTCAAGGTTGTCTTCGACAATATCATAGATCCATTTCAAAGTTAGCTTTGGAAACAGGAAAACTGAGCTATATGTGTTATACACCAATGCTTGGATTGCAATTAGACTTCAGTAAGAGTTGAAAGTATAAAAGATTTCAGTGACGCTGATAAAAAGTAAAAGGTATCTCATTTTGAGGCCGGAATACTTACAGAGTGATTGAAACATTGCATGTGGCATCCATGAATGTATTAGCCATTGGAATTTATTTCCCGGAATATATACGGGCACGCTTAAGTGCCAGTTTGATCTTCAAAATGCTTGCTGAAAAGCCGAGGATTAGCAGTTTACCGGAAGGCAGAAGAAAAGTAATTCTTGCCTGACATTCTTTTCATTTTAATCACATACTAATTATGTACACATTGGCCAGTAATAGCCGTTTTGTCTAGTACTTTTAACAAGTTTTGTCAATTACATTGTTCTATGATTCCGATCTACATCTTGAAAACTCTACATTTGATAATCTCGTACTGATTGTACTTATCCATTGTCCTTACCCTCTTCATATATATTTATTGTTCTCTTCGACGATCAAATCAGAAATGTGAAATTGTACGGAGTTGTGACATAGTTGAAGGGAAGTTATTAAGGATGAAGGCTGAGTTTGACATTTTTGTTTCCTCCATGATCAATATGCATTTAAATTCGCGGGAAATAATCAAAAAAAAGTACGAATGCAATTATTGCCTTTTAAAAAAGGAAACATGATTGTGAAGAACAGCAATTCCAAGGCATACGATAGAAAAACATCGATCGAACAGTATCGGTAATTTTGATTACAGGTAAGCAAATAAATATAAAAATCAAACATGCGATGAAAACTATTTTTAAAGAACTCTTCCACAGGTACTTCGAGGAAACATTAAGCTTGAAAATGTCCGATTTGCATATCCGGCAAATCGGAATCGACTGGTAGTAAAAGGATTGACAATGGAAGCTCTGAAAGGCAAAATGGTAGCTTTGGTGGGTTCCAGCGGATGCGGGAAATCAACCGTTATCGAGTTAATTGAGCGGTTTTACGATCCACTCAACGGTAGAGTAGTAAGTTCTTATTATGCAATATCGAATCAACTATTAAGCAAGAATAATTCGGTATCGATGCAGCTTAAGAGAAGAGGAATGAAGTTTTTGGTCCCATAAAAACTGTTACTGGAAGGATAGGAAGTATAAAAATAAATTTTGCAAATGAGTATTTTAGATACAAAGCAAAGATTAGTAAGAAAAAGTTGTGTGTAGAAGGAAACCAATAATCTTCCCTGAATAGTTTGGTGTGCAAAGAACTTGCGCAGTGATTCTTCGGATTCTGGAACGGTGATATTTCAGATGTATGACAACACCGATATCCGATATTTGAATCTTTACAATCTTCGAAATCAAATAGCTTTAGTAAGCCAAAATCCAATCCTATTCAACTATTCAATTCGTGAAAATATTGCTTATGGCTTGAGTGATGTCAATCAAAGACAGATCGAGGAAGCTGCAAAACAAGCTAATGCTCATAATTTCATAATGGAGATGAAGAATGTATGCACTACTTGACAATTTTTTTGAGCATTACTGGCTTCCATAT